CTGCTTAGCAGTGTAATTAACCCCAAATGTCTGTTGTTTCCTGCATCTGTAAGCCCTGATTAGACTATCATTTGTCGTATCCACTTCCCAAAAGCCGACTCTGTCAAGTAACTTCACCAAAGGCTGCCTTCTTATCACAATTATAACCAAACTTCCTGAATGTTACAGGTGCCACCCTGTTGATTTGTTTGTTTCCCTCTAGAGAGTTGTAGCACCGTAATCGTCACAAAGAAGCAAGGAACCGTGCTAACATGATATGTGTAAATGGTCATAAAGAACAGAGCTCAGCACGGTTAACTGATCCAAGCTCGGTCTGAACTCAGAGGGTAGTGTAAATGGGGCTAATGTATAGATGCATTGGGTTGTTACACTTTCATGGTCAATGGGAGTATCCATCCATCTATCTATCTATCCATCCCACTAATCCTAGGCCGGGTCCTGAGAGGTGCTGGTGCCTATCTCCAACTGTCTACGTGGGAGAGGCGGGGTCCACCCTGGACAGGTCGCCAGCTCATTGCAGGGCAAGACAGAGACAAACAGGACAAACAACCAGTCTCACACACACTCACACCTAAGGAGAATTTGGAGAAGCCAATTAACCTAACAGTCGTGTTTTAAGACTGCCGGAGTACCAGGAGAGAACCCACACATGTTCAGGGAGAACATGCAAGCTCCCTGCTACCACCCATTGCAGCACTGTGCAGCCCTGAGCAGGTTAATGGGAGTAGCCGCTTAAAAAAAAATTTTGAAACCAGCAATGGGGGTTTCATTTTCCACTAGTTGATGTTCTGTGTTAATAAGGTGTAGAAATATTTGTCAGAAAGGAAACATTAAGTGCTCTAGAATCCTGAACCTGTGACTCCCTTCTACTAAAGTATGTGGATTTAAGCAAGCTAAACATTGTGCAGTGCCCGGGGGGTGAGTGCGGGGTAAAGGTCCTTACTCAGGGACCCAGACTGCGGGCTATTGAGATAGAACCGGGTGCTTGCAACCTTTTCAGAGCACACTTCTCTAACCACTAGGCCAACACCTCCCTTTTATCACTTCAGTAATGCCTCTACTTTGGTGTTAAACACCCTTCAGAATTTGCTGTTTCTTCAGTTCAAAACCAAAATTGTACAAAAAAGTAAATAAAAGAAGAAGTGATTTACTTTCACACTCAGGTGGTGAGTCGCTCCACTTTCCATTTCCCAAACAAGTAATTGTTTTACTTCCTTTCATGATGTGTACATTTTGTTCACAACTGAATGACAACTGAAATCCTTTCTCTAGAGCATTGCCTGGCACAGATGAAGCGATGCGTACAGTTTCTGAATGATTTGGTATTCTGCATTTCTCTGTAAAACAAGAGATGGTTTACAACATTAGCAACAGAGGTTATATCTTAAAATAAAACTGGTGCCACAATATTCCCAACACCCCCATTATAACAGTAAAAAAAGTTTTAAACCAATTATTACTAATTTGTTACCTTCAACTTTTAATTTTGACTTAATAATCCACATTACATTGTACTTTTTCTTTAGGGAACGCTGTGTCACCATAAACCACTATATTGCATAACATTTTATTATGAAAATTAATTTGCTGAAAGGAAACAGCAAATTTTAAAAGTGCTTTATGCTTTGATTAAGTGGTCTTGTGGTCAAAGCAAAATTATTATATTTATTATATTTGGAAGCACTTTTTCCACACCACACAGGTTATGTGATCATCAACATGGAACAAAAATATTCATGTGCAATTGTAATTATATTTCTAATTTAATGAAAACACAGCAATTGCATTTTCAAAATAAACAGATCATTGCCATTCTTGCACACTTTCGTAATAGAAACCCAATTAATGAAAGCTTGTTCACATATGTGAGACTGATGAGACAGAATGTGAACTAATACTTGCGGACTAATGAAAAAAG